CGCTACAATCATAACGTTTTTTACGTAACAATAGTTATGTAGCGTTAGTTCTAAAGGTGTACGTGTCTACACAATCACAAAGTCATGCGCCGGTACAATGCATAGTGCTCAAACGCCCGGAATGGGCGGAGCGTAGCACGCAAGAGGTACACAAAAGGAGTAAAATAGGGCTGTTTCGTTGTTACTCAGAGTTTCATGGCAAAAAGCAATCATCAGACAACATCTCATGATCATGATTGTAGCCGATTGTTGCTAAAAACCTGGGATTACCCGATATTATCCACTATGAAACTCGTCACGCTGCTCAAACCTCACATAATGCTCGTTTTGTTCCTTTCTAATGCTCCATAATGCTCTGATGCTCGGATAGTCGTATAATGCCGAATATAATGCCGGCATTATCCGCTGGACCCTATAGCTAGCTGGCTCCGCAGGTTTGCAGTTCTCTTTGTAGATAGGAATGACTGTAGCCAACTAACTTCCAGTCACTAGGTAGCTGCCCAAGGCGGAGACTAGTGTTGAAGAGGTGGCACAGGGACTGCGTTATCACGGGTGCCACTTCTCTCAGTATGACGTAAGTGATATCCCCGCCCACAGACTTGTGCTTGGGCAGAGTGCGCAGCTTGCGGAAGACTTCGTGCTGGGTTATGTTTGGCAATTGAAACTGGAGATCTGGTGTAAATTGTGCTGGCAGTAGGGTGGTAGCACACGGGTCAAATGACGGATTTGGGGAGAACTGGATTTTGAAGCAACGGGCCAGTGCTTCTGCTTTAGAAGAATCAAAAGCCGCATCTCCACAATCATCAACCAGGGTCGGAGTTTTTGGACATTGTATTGCATTGCTGCTCCATCTACATGGGTGTATTTTGTGTTTCACATCTCCATTTCAAGTTTCCTAATAAAGATTGTGTCAAATAGTAGTAACAGTGTCAGTAACCTAAGTTTATTATTATTATTTTTAATTATTTTTACTGAGAATAAAGCCTCTTTAACGGGCGAACAAAACACAATTTGCCATGGTGGCGGAGGATTGGAAAATAAGTCAGATAATGATGGCGTCACACGTGATCAGAGAGCAGGAGAATCATAGCATAGTCCGCACAATCACGGGCCAAGGCTCAACGGGACACCTTAGACTTAGTCCTTACTTACTAGGACCTTCCTTAGCCTCCACGACAGCCAGGGAGGCACAGCCATCCATTGGAGGCTGCCAAACTAGTTTGTCAGTAACCTAAGTCAGTAACCAAGGTAACTACTTAGTAGAGTAAGTGCACCTGGTGACTGTCTTACTCTTAAGTCTTAGTACTAGTAGTAGCAGTACTACTACTAAGTACTAGACTGTAGCTTTGTGCAACTAAAATTAATTATTATTTGAGCCGTCAGATGCGAAAACAGACCTTATGGGAAAACATTCATATTTGTGCTAGATGTTGGTTTGCGTTGCGCAAACCGTAGTTAACCTACATGTCACAGAGCCGCATCTCCCGCATGGAGATGTCGTCCGCGGACACGCCAAAACCGGATAAGTCTCATACGAGCTCCGCTAAAGTTGTACGCACTGCCGGGCTCCCGCGCGGGGCCCCACGCAAGCATTCGCAACCGCGATGCGCGTACGGCATGCCGTATAAGCCATCTATCCGCCTTGGGTGCAAGCTCACCCAAGGCCACCCTCGCAAGGCAGGAACAAGTAAAGACATTCACCAGTTGTTTGTGGTGCCAGCCCGCCGCAGAAATTGTTTCCCACCCTCCCGCACCATTTAAAAGGCAGGAGGCACGGGTGCTGCCGATGGGCGCCGCATAGTGCACGCACATCGGCACCATTGAACTATTCATGTGTACTAAGATTTTGTGTTCCGCTGCCATAGCAACCTAGTAGTACACGTAGCCGTTCCGACGGCGCAGGACCCCGCGGGTCGCTTCTGCTGGCCTTGCCTCTCTGATGCGCGATACGTGTACATCATAATAATCATGACCTCATACTGAGTACATGTACGTCATACTTGATTACCGATCACAGGCTCATGATTATTCATGCTGGAATAAACGCTTGCGACACCCCACAGGCTCGTCTCTCTTGTGTGGCATGAGGGTTAATGATATTTTCTGAAAGCTAGGAGCATCAGGAGTCGTATGCAAAAAACTAGAGTTGATTTGGACCAAGGGAAGTAAAGTTATAGCCTCTACAATAGGAGACCGTTACAAATTGCATCTCAATTTTGGGTGCAATACCAACAATTGTTTTACATACTTTGGAGAATATTTCCTGTTTCCTTTGACCGATTTCCACAAACTTGGGCTTTCTGGAAAGCTCTGGCGACGAGCAACCCGTTGGGCCCAAATCCGATAGCAAATAAAGCACAGCACCAGCGCAACAAGCTGCAGACATCGCTTCAGCGAATTTTAATAAAACTTCATGATGACATTCTTGCCAAAATTGCAAAAGAAGCGACTCCATGATCTAGTCCAATCTGCACTCTGCAGCCTGTGCAGGCGCGCTAGTGGGCACTACTACTCAATGACATGTACAGTCTTTGTGGTCCACTTCACAACAATAACACACACAGAAGTCTCTGCTGTGAGCACGGTGGCTCGACCGGCAATGGCGAAGTGATACAAACTGCACCAACGAAAAGCCACTGCGAAGTGACAGGAATGCGGTCCAGCACAACATTTTTGCGGACGCAAAAAGTTGTGGGGAAATCCCAAAATCGGTGCGATTTTGCATGAGCCCAAATGTTCAGGTTACCCACAAAGACACAAGCTTTCCAACTCTCTTTGGCCGTTGGAAAGCGTACCATCATGTACATGTACATGTACGAAGTTCTGCATGAGCACTATGCTACTGTGTACTACTAGTACTAGTGTCACTAGTACATAATTATCGTGTTGCAACCAAAAAAAATAAGAATACGAGGCCCTGCATGGGCATGCACTAGTGTCACTAGTGGCGCATGTCCATGCAGGGCCTCGTATTTTTGTTGCAACACGATAAGTATCGCGACTACATGTACATGTATGATAATACTAATAGTAATGAGTATGGCCCAATATGGGAGAATGAAGTAATAAGTAATAGTTGAAGACACCACTGCAGTTGTACTTGGCGTGTGTTTACCGCAGTAATGATTATGTACACTCTACTGATAAGGCCACCTAGAGGCTAGAATTAATTCGTTATTTCGGGTCACTTCATTCACTCATCCGTTCCAGGGTCGGTCGGTCGGGTTTATTTTTTTTTATTTTAGTTTTTATTTTGGTTACTGCCATGCGCGCCATACATGGCCATGTGCATACATAATAATTATCGAATAGCTTTTGTCCATCAAGCCAGTCGATCAAATCTAGACGATCCAGCGCCTTCAGATCTACAGTAGTACAATGTAGGTCCCCAGCTAGCTCCAGCCTCCAGGACCAGATCTTGACCTCGCTAGCAAACGAGTCTGACGAACAGCTCTCACCAAAACTTCTGTCAATGAGCGACGCGGTGGCGGGGCTGATGTTGTTTCAGGACAGATCGCGGATCCACGTCGTCACCAAGCGCTGCATGCATGCAACCTGTCATTTGGCTGCTTCTGACTCTGAGATTGACGTCTGGACTGCTATTATTATTTTTTAGGGTCGCGTGTGTACATGCATAGCCTAGTCATCTAAGTACATTTGCATGCACAATCAAAAAAAACATTTTGCGGTCGGGTGACCCGAAACAACGAATTAACTATTACTTTCAAACAAGCCTGCCTGCATGCCTCCCGTTCTGTCTTGCTAGCAGTAGCACCCACTTGTACTGAACACTACAGGAATCTTTGAACGTTTGCGGTACTCCACAGTACCAGTCATGTGCTGTTTACCGTCTCCCCGTTGTTGTATTCTAACGCTAACGTTATTCATTGACTGAGCGTTCTTTGCTTTGTACTACACCCTGCTATCATGTTAGGCTATTTCCTACAGTATATTTCTGTTTCCATTCGCTTCCATGTAATTGGGCGACACCGCCCGTTGGGTTCTACGAATTCAAATAAAAATGTACCTACCTACGTAGCTACCTACCTAACTCTGGGTGACCTAATAATATTTTTTTATGAAAAGTCTGTCTGCCTCTGGTGCCGTATAGTACTACTAGTACTACACAAGTACGAGTACTGCCACTACTAGACAGGCGAGTCTCTATGTGAATTGGACGTGCGCTAGGTACTAGGTGCGCACGACCAATTCCTAAGTCCTTGAAGGCAAGATTAGTTTTTGTGCGTGGGCATGCCAAAACTCGCACTGCAATGCAGCATACAATTGTCCATCGCTGAAATTATTTTTACCAGGCGTAACCACTAAAATAACCAGGGAGCCTCGAGAGTCGTGCATGCAGTGGGTGCCGGTGGTTTGTACCTCATCGTCTAGACTCCTTGGCAGCAATCGCACTCTCCTCCCCCAGATCTGGTCTGCCGTCCAACGCACACACACACCCCCTCAAATTTTCTAGGTGCTGTGGTTGTTGCTATTAGCAGTAGTATGAGTAAGTATTTGCGAATAGTACTTGCATAAGGGGAAATGACGATACTAGTACTACACGCTACCATTACTAGCATGCCCTCAGTACTACAGTAGGTCTACTAAGTACTATACTAGCAGCAGTAGTACTATTTCTCCTGTCACTAAGTGTCAGTGCTGTGCACATGTGCGAGATAGGGATGTGTTGTATCTGTGGTGCGTTCGCTCCACCAACCACCGCCGCGACAAAGGCGTGAGGACCTTGAGCAGTTGAGGTTGATGCATGGAGATGCTCAGGCAATAGTGCATGTAGCCACGTGAATTTATACTGACCGGGGCATGCCAGCGCCATGACCATGCCATGGCAAGGTATGGTTGTGTTGCATGCGACGCGCGGCGACCACGTAACCTCGTTGCATGCATGAGCGAACCGCACTGTGGACTACACGTTAGCAGCTAGGAAGAGGAGAGATGGTTGAGAGTGGACTGAAGCAATACAAATAGAGCGCTGTGGACGCTGTTCGCTCGCATAATGTTTTCCATCCTCGTTGTCGCCGCAGCGTAGTTTCAAACAAGTGTGTACCTCGCCGTACACATGCTGTAGACGTAGTTTCATTCCTTCTCTTTCTCTCTCTCTCTCTTTATTTATCCCCCCCCCATCCCTCTCTCTCCAGCTTCACTGGTGACACAGAGTCGAGCGCAGGAGATTGTAGCCGTGCATTTAAAAATAATCTCTTAGTTGTGTACATACATACTCACATGTACTAGGGACGCCAGTGGAGATACTAGTCCATATTGCATCGATTGCATAGAACTGTTAGCGGCTGGTCTTGTGAGGCGGAAGCAGTATTCGCAGCTAGATTGATAGCCGCCACTGAATCACAGCAGCATCCAGGCACTCTCCGCCAAGATCAGCTGGCTTCGCGCTCCGTCAGATTATTCCCATCTCCGAGTAAGTGAAAAGGAAGGTGTGGGTGTTCCAACAGCGAAACAGTGGTCAACGCTGCGCCATCACACAGAAACCCAGCGGGCGCATTGCTCCGGATCACCATCGCCAAGAGGCAAGCACAGAGAGGAATACGTATCAGTAGTGCATCGGAAGTTGTTTCCACCGCGAAATCCTCCAGGAACGCAGTTATCACGGCACACAGACAGGCAACTATAAAACATCCGTGTCCAGAGCTGACGGTGAGCCAGTATGCATATGCAGGAATTGATGGAGGCGTCTTGTAGCTCCCCATCAGGCAACAGCGCCCTGGTCCTGGAAGACACCGAGACAATCGAACCCAAAGAAGCCAGTGGCACGGGAAAACCGTTCGAATCCTATTTGGAAGCTATTGGTTTCTTCCATGATGTGAGTAGCTCACTGTGTTCTCGGCGCATGCGTGTGTGCTCCTGTAGTGTTGGTCGTATTCATCAATGTAAAACTGCGTGTAGCAGGCGATGTTCACCAGTTGTACATCACTACATGTACTAGCTCTGGACTAACAACAATCCGAGTGAGCACTGTACCCCCGTCACTGTACGTCTCGACACTGCGTTCTAGATACACCGTACACGCAATAATATTATGGCGCTCACACGCTCTGCTAGTACTAAACTTGGTAGTAAAGTAAGATTCGAAAATGAGTGAATGTGAATGAGAGCAAATGTACATCTGCTTCCACTCTCCTTCACTGTTGTCTGATAACTGGTTGTTTTAAACCATGAAACTCTGAGCAACAACACTTGAAAAGAGCCTACTTTCCGTTGTGCGCCTCTTGTCGGTCTACATGCATACTGCTTCTATGCAAGTAGAAAATTAATGATAGAATAAGGGATCTTCCCGGAAGGTGTTAACTAGTTAGTCAACAGATACGATGCGGTCGAAGGGATTATTGCGATTCTCGAAGCCTCTTTCTTCGGCAGTCTTTGTGACACCTTACGTTAAGGTGAATTCGTGGCATTTGTAGAAGCAACATTCTTGGGATGCTTACGAAGTACTCCCACAACCTTGATGAAAGAAGACTGGCTGCGGTGAGCGTGGTGGTCGGGGTGTGCAGCTATCACCTGTGCTCGAAACACCCTTGCCTTGGACAGTCACAGTCCCTTGTCTTTGAAGACCTCACTCCACACCATAAGAATCTGGACTTCGGAATTTCAGCGCTAATGAGCCTCACATGAGCCTCTTTTAAGGGCAAAAAACCCAAAATGAATGGATCAGTGTCGATGAGGGGTTTGTTGTACCTTATGATACATTTCAGCATGGACTGGGCTGGAGGTCGAGTAGTTTCTGCCAAATCCTTTATAGCGGTCTGGTAACATGATCCCTGAAGCTCAGAGGGAACATTGGTATGACATGCATTATTATTAGTATTTATTATTATTATTATGAAAATGAGCCAAAGGCTATATCCTTACCGAGTGTTATGCCTAACTTATGGAGGACTTAGAGGACATAACCAAAGAACAACATAGGACATGTGAGAGAGAGGGAGGAGGAGTAGTAGTAGCAGTAGAATGTATTGTTAGGAGGAGAAGGGAAGGAGATAGTGTGTGTGTGTGTGTGTGTGTGTGTGTGTGTGTATGCGCGTGTGCATATGATTATGTGTGGTTGGGTGTATGTGTTGTGATCAAGTCCACTCACAGGTTGGGGATTTGGGGTTTGACAGCCGTTGTGCGCTTCGATGGTCAATTGAGTCGTCTTTCCAAGATTTCTTAATCTCTCTCCGCTTTCCCAAGGGGAGACCCACGTGGCTTGTTTCTGATAGTGAACAAGTACAGTTATTACAAGCGTGCATGAGTGTATGTGCCGCCGTGCGTGTGTGTGTGTGTGTGTGTGTGTGTGGTGTGCGCGCGCGTGCACTTGTGTGTACTTATGTGTAGTATGGTAATATGTTGTAGTATCTATTTTGATTTATCAAATGAACAGGTACTGATGCCTTCTCACTAAACCCATTAGTCTGGCTCTTACAAGAGAAAAAAACATTTTATGAACAAGAAGACAAACAAGGAAACAAAATTAAAAGAATCTATAATAATCTATAATAATAATTATTTGGTTTGTTCAGTGGATTATTATGTAAGACACAAGCAGAGGAGATCAAACAAATTTTATAAAATTGTGAAGTCTAGAACAGACGGGTGTGGTGTGTGTGTGGTGTGTGTGTGTGTGTGTGTGTGTGTGTGTGTGTGTGTGTGTGTGTGTGTGTGTGTGTGTGTGTGTGTGTGGTGAGTTTGATTGAAAAGGGCATGATGTGGGAGGGAGGAAGGACGATAGTGCGGACAAAGAGATTCGGAGGAGAGCTAATATTATGAGGACAGATCAAGAACAGACATGAAGCTTGAGCTTGTGGCAAAGAACCTTTTTGAGAACGTTGCGGAACGACTGATCAGATGGTATTTCATTCAGCATCCCTCAAGCCGTGCTACCAATTGATTTATTCTTTCGCTGTGTATTCTGCCAATGTTCAACTCAACAGAAAGCCAAGAGGACCAACAAAGTGTTCGTGGGAGGACTGCCGGGGAATTTAACCGAAGATGAGATGAAAGCATTCTTTGAGACGAAGGGAAAGGTAAGGATTGTCCGATTGAATAGTCGAGATCTAACCTATAAATAGTATAATGACGTTACACATTACGTCATTAGAGCGGTTCTCTGGTAGTGTTGGTGTGCCACTTGAGAAACTGAACTCAGCCGTACCGGCCGTGCTGTTGCTACTGCAACTCCCACGTACATGTACGTGACTTGTACTTGGTCGGCGCTCCAGCCGATCGAGACTTGATTTTGCATCGTCTGCACAACATCTGCATGGGAAACACGCACTTAACTTCCCGCTGTTCTGGTCGCCACAGTTCGCACAGCAGATACATGTAAAAGTAAAGTAAAGTTTGCACGTCCGCGTTACCACCGGCTATACAATTGCGTTGAGAAACACAACCAGTTTAGGAAGTTTCACATGCATGGTGGTGGCCTGGCACATGCAGATACATGTACTCAGCGTATTATGATTCTTTTCTGAAGAGCTGGTGGGGTCCTGGGGTGTCAATGTTGCAGAAACATGGGGAATTCGTCTTGATGGAAACTCGCGATTTTTTCAGTGCGTTGTTAAAAAACCGTATACGTTATATGAGTTTCAACGCCCTGTAATCCGCTTCCTGCGGAACGATCTGCTGATTGACCCGTTGATCGATATGGAATTGGAAGGTGGAAGTCGAGAGTGATATTTTGAGGCAAGTACAGTCGTCACTTATCACAGTCCGCGGACTTCATTGTTACTCTCGGAAGTGTCCCGTTGCTATGAAGCAAAGACGTGATTGGAGGTAATTTGGGAGCCGCATGTCACCTAACAAATATTCCGCCGAGATACTGCCGATGCTGACGGCAATCCCTCGTGGTGTCCTTGTTACTTGTACAAAGTATTCTACGGGACAAACTGGCGAACGTGGCATAGTTGGCTCAACGATTCGATTGTGCCTGCCAGGAATGCTTGCTACTAACTTAACCACCGTGGCGAGCTCTATCAAGAACACGTGCAGTACAATTGTCATATCGCAGGATCGCATACCGATGTCACTCAGAGCCTCTCCTCAACAACGTGTGAACAGATAGCGCCGTAGTCGTTTCAAGTAAGTTTAACACCTTGTACCAGCTCAGAGCTCTACTTGAGGAAGTCGGCTGGTATGCGAACGCAGCGGGCCTTGTGGCCACACGTGTGCTGTACACGCCTTATAAGGTGTTCAAAACAAATACGGAGCGAATTCAAAAGGTAGCACCTCCTCTGCCCAGTCGGAATGTCCTACCTATCTCAGCACCAGTTATTGTCCTAGTTATTTCTCGCGATCTTGTTCTGGCAAACCCTTAGGCAGGCCACAACAGGCAATGTCACTAGCGTATCTGTTTTAAAATCTTCAGAAGAACGCATTTTTGGCAATGACATTGCTGCGGTACTATTACGTCAGTCGACATGAACAGCCACCATGAACCCTTAATTAACGTCTCGGAATGTACGATCTCCACGGCCTAAAATTGTGCTAGCGCCGAGATGTTTCAATCTTAATTTCAGGATTACCCAAAGGCTGACGCCTATTGGGGGGGGGGGGGGGGAGGACCTCCTATTTGTGTATGTAAAGAAGTAGGTTCTTCGATTAAAACCCGAAAATGATATTCTTTGAAAGACTTTCATGCACATGTGCAGTGCATAATGTTCTTCAACTTAGGTTACAGATCAAAGTGTCTAAAGGAGTAGTATTAAGAAGACTGTGGAACGCCTTTATCCTTGCTGCCAAAAGAAGAACAGTCCATCACATTGCAATTTGTATGGCGGCCACAGCGGGTTGCATGGCTAGCGGCACTCTTTCAAACATTCGGATCACGGTCAGCTATGCTAGGCTGCTGGGAAATATCGAATTGGCATATCACGTGTCTTCCTACCCGCGTGAGACAGAATGTAGTAACGTATTCGTGACGTCGGCCGGCTATTAATTTCAAGAATGTCACGATAATCGATTGAGGCGTTCCGCGTGGTCACTGCTCACAGCGAGCTGCTAGCTGGCGCAGTATCCATGCTCTTTTCAACTTCAAGGGGGGCACCACGCTGCACAAGATGATAGCACCGCAGTACACGACTCATTACAATGAGTTTCATGGAGAACGATCATGTCACCGCAGAGTGCAGCGCTTGTATTTCGAAGTATGCAGATACAAAACATCTTCCGGCGTTGCCAATGTGATCGTGTAGGTCGACTGGTGCAGGAAATGGCAGGCGATCGCCAACCCGAGTGGCCGTGGTCGTTTTCATTGTGTCAGCAGAGACCCTGCCGTCCCAGCGCCCCAGAGCGTGTCGTGGATACCTTTGCAGGCAGCGCTCTATGCCGAGTCCCAGCGTCGCTCCAATCATGCGGCTGATGCTGATGGCAAGGGCCGGGCGAAATGTCGAGCAAGTTTGGACTGCACGCCCCAGTTGTATGCCATTGCGAGTGCAGGACGGTGTAGTGAACCCTTATAAAAAGTAATGGCGGCTCTAAGCGAAGCCACTCTGTGTCTAGCAGTACCTGGTGCGTATTGGTCTGTAGTGGCGAGACTGATGGGGCAAAGCGCCCGGCCATACAATGTCAGCGAGTGTGTAACGACGGGCCGATAGACAGCAGAGTAAAAACAATACTAATTATCACGAGAACCAGTGGGAACGTCTCCTCTTTTGCAGGTTCATTCATTTTTTTACTAGCAAACATAGCCCTACTAATGATCAGGGAAAGAGGACAACTGAAGTGACACTGGACAACAAGACAAAGGGGAGGAGGGGCGATGTGTAAAATAATAAATACTACTACTACTATGTGCCGATGTGGTTGGCGACATTGCAATGTCTTCCACGTACCCTTCCGGTTTGAAGTGCCAGGCCAGACTTACATTGCTTGACGAAATTGTCGTGAATTTACAACCACACCACCACCACACCACCACCACTACCACCACCACCACCAACAACAACAACAACAACAACAACAACAACAGCAACGACAACGACAACGACAACAACAACAACAACAACAACAACAACAACAACAACAACAACAACAACAACAACAACAACAACAACAACAACAACAACAACAACAACAACAACAACAACAACAACAACAACAACAACAACAACAACAACAACAGCAACAGCAACAGCAACAGCAACAGCAACAGCAACAGCAACAGCAACAGCAACAGCAACAGCAACAGCAACAGCAACAGCAACAGCAACAGCAACAGCAACAGCAACAGCAACAGCAACAGCAACAGCAAATGCAACTGCAACTGCAACTGCAACTGCAACTGCAACTGCAACAGCAACTGCAGCAGCAGCAGCAGCAACAGCAACAACAACAACAACAACAACAACAACAACAACAACAACAACAACAACAACAGCAACAGCAACAGCAACAGCAACAACAACAGCGGGACATGCAAAAAAATAACGTCGCTGGATTGAAATGTGGTCAGTGTGGAAGTGGATGACCCTTAGGCTGTGTTTACATGAGAAGTTTCAACCCGGGTCGAGTTCAGCCCGGGTTGAAAGTCTGTACGACAAACAAAAGAGGTGAGCGTTTACATGAAGACAGTTGACCCGGGTCAAATACTGATATGCCGCCAAAAGTCCACTTCTACAGTCCTGTATGGTCACGTGAATCCGTTCGCGCGAAATTGGCATCTGCAGTGCTGTTCAAACCTGGCGCGAGCTACGCACAGAAGTACGTTTGTACGATTTTCTTGACCCAAGGGGAGGGTTGAAATCAACCCGGGGCGAAATTTCAACCCGGGTCAAGCGCAATGCGTCATGTAAACGCGCCATTCACTTTGTGCACATGGCAGGTTGAAATCTGACCCGGGTCGAACTCAACCCGGGTTGAAACGCTTCATGTAAACACAGCCTTACAAAGTTACATACATGAACATGTCCATGTACTATCGGACATGGACCGGGGCCGGTGTCATATAGTAGAATGACCCCCGTAGTGGAAGGCCCCCCCCCCCGGTCATTGTACTATATAGTAGATTGCCCCCGGGGTCACTCTACTATAATATACAACGACCCCCCTCGGCCTTGGGGGGAGGGTTGAAATCAACCCGGGGCGAAATTTCAACCCGGGTCAAGCGCAATGAGTCATGTAAACGCGCAATTCATTTTATGCACATGGCGGGTTGAAATCTGACCCGGGTCGAACTCAACCCGGGTTGAAACGCCTCATGTAAACACCGCCTTAGTAGAGGTCCGTGAGCTCCTGAACTCTTGCTAGTACTACACCGTATACGTATACACGTGTAGATCGACCCCGAGGTCATACTCTTTCTCTCTGACAGATGCACACATTGGTTAACATTTAATCAAACCTGGGGATTGTCATTCTCCTCTTTCAAGGATCAGAAACAAAACTCTTATTAGTTTCGCTCCCATGTCATTGGGCCTATTACCTATTCTCATGGCGACACTTCGACACAAGCTCACTCCTTTTGTTGAGAGAGAGGTGCTTGGGTGCTTGCGCGATTGCCAATTTCTCTGCCAGGCACAGGTTGCACCTTTTGCTTTTGTTGCTCTACCACTCGGTATTGAGCACTCTCTTGGACAGCCTGGAACCTCTCTGTTTTAATATCAATGCACCTATCACACACACAATAATCCAAAAGGAGCAAGGAGCACACAGAAAACGCAAAGGAACACTGAACTTGCAAACTCCAAACAAAAACAATCCAACACAAGGTGGGATGTTCATGTCTCCTAAAGAGGAAAAGTGCGCGACCTATGTACAAATGTTGTGGACTTTTCACCACATATTCCCACAATCAAGAGTACATAACCCCGGACTCTTGCCACAATCCATAATGTCCACGTGGAATCTGTGGTGTAAACTCCATCCCTTTCTACCTGCACGTGCGAAACGACAAGTCTGGTGGACTCTGTAGTAGAATGACAGGGGGCAATCTACTATATAGTAGAACGACCCCCCGGGCATTGTACTATATAGTAGAGTGACCCCGGGGTCACTCTACTATTATAGTACAATGCCCGGGGGGGGGGGGTCCATCTGCTGGGGGGTCATTCTACTATACTACACCGGCGTCCTCAGCGCGTAGTTCTACTGAACGCTGCGTGCAGTTCACAATAATCTTCATGTTGATCCGATGTGACCCGCCCGCTACAGCGCATAAGTGCATGTGTGTAGATCTACCACTTATCCACGGCTGCATGGCCAGCGCTCTGGGGCCGCTAGAAAGTGGACGTGCGACCCGATTTCCATGTCCACGACAGCAGCAAGATTATATTTGCAGTGTAGATCAGGGAGTCGTATAGGACTCCCTGGTGTAGATCTACTTGGAAGCGTGTTTTTATTGACCACATAAAATGATGATGCAAAGAAAGAAAAGAATACCGGAAACATAATGCTGGATTTGAAAGAAGAAGAGGAAAAGAAAGAATAAAAGAAACCTGACCAAGAGAACTCAAGCATTGCACCCAGGAGGCAAAAATGAACTCAATCCCTAGCATAGGCTCAATGAGGTCGTGTAATTGTACAAATTTCAAAGGATCCAAGTAAAACTCCAACAAACCAGAGAAACGAATTCAAATATTACAAAGCAACAGCGAAAAAAAAAGTCCAGTTACTGCACACGCGACATGTGCGCCAGTGGCACTCGGTTGCGAAACAATGACGGCCTGTACCGGAGACACCACGGGCATACGACGATCTTGACCTCCGGAAACACGTTATCTGCCATCGGTTAGGGAGGCACTTATCCTCGATCGCAGGTGACCAAGGACAAGGGCGTACTGAAGATCCCGATTCTTATCCGCTATGGGCCGCCAACGCCTTCAGGAATCTGCTGCACTCCGGCGCACTCTGGCCATTTGTTGCAAAAACCAGAGGGGTAAATGACCCGCGATCCACCTGGTTAATTCGGTCTGCATACTGCCGCTTCTTCTGCCTGAGTTCTGGCGCTCATATACCACCACTGGCACCAGGCACCACGGCACCAGTCCACATGGCCGGCATATGAATCATTATGATCATCATGATATGGGCCCACTTACACCATATGCAAATCTACGTAGGTGAGTCTCTACATCATACATGACAACCATCAGATCATGTGGACATATCTAGCGAGTAGAAGTCCGTGTTGCGTGGTTCGGCTATTTCAGTTCTACCAAGAGTAGAATGATAAGGTTAGTCTTGGACCTGGTTCTACTGTACTGTAGCAGCATTTGCGTGGCTAGATAAGTAGATCTGTTCGCACCAGAACTGCGGAAGTCCAGATTGGCCATTTCTGAGTGCAATAACCGTGGCCATGCGCCAGAACAGAGTGATGCAAAAATAAAGGAATGCGTAGTACTAGTACTAGTTTTGTGGATCTAGGAGTATATCTTCTTGGAGCACGCAGGATTGCTGTTGAAGTGTCGCAGAATGGTCTGCTCACCAAGAGGATGACGTGTACGGTGTAGGTTAAGGTTTGTAGTTTAGAGGCTCGCTAAGTCCAACCAGCTTGTACTTTGTAGCAGGATAATTATACATTTGTAATCTCGGTTCCTAATCATTACCACGGAGCAGGTTTGCTAAGCTTACGTAGCTCATACACCCTACTAGTACTACCCATGATGGCGACTACTATGTGGTGTCTGGAGATTGAGACAACCCGTATGCCACTAACAACACGCCGAGGTATAGGCACATGTAGCAAATCATTCTATCTGGTCTCTGTTTTCTTCAAAGCTATCTAGTAAAAGAAGAATAAATAATAATAAAAATAATATAATAATAAAGCGCGAATTGTTAAAAAAAAGTTTTTGCTTTTTCTTCACTCTATCTTCCACACCTGGATTCAACTGACACATTAACATGTCTCCTGTCCATGTCACCTTTATTATTCTTTTTTGTTGATATTTTTGTTGATATGCACATTCTTACCAAAAAAGACAAGGACGATTAACAAGTGGTATGGGCTGTTCAGTTGTGCTGGTGGAGCAGGCTAAGCTTGGGTGGCAGACCATCATGATCTCGCCTTCACTAATGCTTGATCTACGCATAGAAAAGGCGACGAAGAGAGGGTATTGGTGTATGGTTCAGGCAGGAGGCAGGCAAGGAGGGTGGGGGAAAGAAATGGGGGAAAGACTCTAACGAAATGCTGTGGCAAACAGGGAGACCCATGAACAAAAGTACATAGAGAGAGACAGACAGATAGACAGGCCGATACAGACAGACATGGAGAGAGAGAGAGAGAGAGAGAGAGAGAGAGAGAGAGAGAGAGAGAGAGAGAGAGAGAGAGAGAGAGAGAGAGAGGCAGAGAGAGAGAGAGGCAGAGAGAGAGAGAGGCGAGAGAGAGAGAGAGAGAGAGAGAGAGAGAGAGAGAGAGAGAGAGAGAGAGAGAGAGAGAGAGAGAGAGAGAGAGAGAGAGAGAGAGAGAGAGAGAGAGAGAGAGAGAGAGAGAGAGAGGCAGAGAGAGAAAGAGAGAGGCAGAGAGAGAAAGAGAGAGAGAGAGGGAGAGAATGGAAGATGGGTAGAGTAAAGGGTATTGCATTATGAGTATGAGAACATCAGTAAGAAACCAGAGTGCAACCACAACTGTCATCTCGCTATTTATTTGCTCACCTACAGGTAGATGCAGTGAGCCTTATGATGGATCCTGTCACGAAGCGGCACCGAGGTTAGCCTTCTGATTCTTTGCATGTATTTTGTAGTAGGTGATTTGACAAGTACTACACATGTATTGTTCAGAACGCAGACAGCACTTTATTGCACATATAAGCGCATGGGCTGCAATCCGAACATATTCACACAGCAAAAAAACTTTTTTGTAGCAAATTTTCACTTATAAGCCCATGCGCTTATATGTGGGGTATAAGCCCATGCGCTTATATGTGGGGAAGTGCGGTAAAAGCTCCCCAAGTTGTTACGTCTTATCAGAGGTGTGTGTAGTCTTATGCTCCTCTCTTCATGTGCTGTGATTCTCGCAGGCTTCGGATTTGTTATCTTTGAAGACGCTAGTGTCGTCGATCTACTGGTAGAGGCGCACTATATCACAGTGAACGGCAAAGTGGTAAGTGTTCGACACGCCGCTGTACACTTGGTGCGTGCAATACTTTTCTTCTGGTGTAAAATTTGCTCCGGGAATGATTTCTGAGATCATTATAAAATTTAATAAAACAGTGAATGGCAATGTGGTGCGTGCACAATACGCCGCTGTACACTTAGCGTGCAATACTGTACAGGTGTGACATTTAGTCGGGAAATGATTTCAAGGACTGTAAGAAAAGACTCGAATGGGGAGCCAGGGATTAATTTATATTGCTGCAGAAAACTTGACAACCAACTCATGCGATAAGATTGCACGACACTGACTGATGGTACTGACGTTCTACAACTACTAGAAACTGGCTATCAGCTCTAGCACATCTTGGATGCGCACTCCGACAGCCTTCCAACTGGGAAAGCTCTAAGTTATATGATAACGTAGGAGGGAGAAGTTGAGCGCAACCAAGACAAGCATGAGCTGAAAGTCATAGCTGTGAAGACGTTGGCGGGGAGAGGGGCGGGGGGGGGGGGGGGGAGCGTCCTTCACAATACTGTGCAAATGGAAGCTTGCTCCACATACACCGACCTACCGACTTGGACCCAGACAACAGAGGCAGGAGCACACAAAGTGAGGGTAGTAGGCCTCAGCCAGATGTGAAGAAGCCAGCCAGAAAGTACAGCAACAAAAGAAGAAAAAAAACATTAGACACCATATTCGCAAGAGAGAAAATTGTTGTGCGAGAAGTCATTTCTCGCCAAACTTGTTCCGCTCGGCCGGCGAGAAATATAACTTTTCATCTTGCGTGCTTGATCGTTGGTCCTGTCTGATGGACTAGAGGACTAAGGGAAGGAGAGCTGATAATTACTTAGGGGCTGAAGAGACTGTCAACCATTCTTCGCCAGTGTTCAACACCAGTGTACTCCATCGATCAAGCACAACAGCTCCTCAACGATGGCTTACAATTCCACCAATCAACTCAAGATTCGCGACTCAATCCTCTTCAGAAACAAACAACGCCGCCTTATGGTAGTACTCGAGTACTAGTACTGTCAGCTGTGGCATCCCTAGATTTTCTAGGCTTCGGAATTAACTGACGATGAGAGATAGTAGTCGAGGTGTACATCTGTGTCATCGCTGCGGCTGTCAACTTTGAAACGTTCAAGAATATCTTGATAATGTGAGCTCGCAGAAAACGTACAAATATATCTTCCTGGTTGGACAGCTCTAAATTTTCTACGACCAGCCCTACGCAACGAATTAAGAGCCATCACTTGCTTCTCTATGGTTCAAAACCACTACAATTACAATGTACGGCTAAAAAGCAGCCGCGACCGCTGCAAAAACTGCAAAATAAAACCACTTCAGTTACATCTACGAAGATCAAAGTTCCCAACGATCCTGTCCCCACAGGCCTGCTTTCTTGTACAACCTCTCGAATACACCCCCAAGGATTGTCAACGATAAAAAATTCACGTCCCAAAACTAGTGTAATGCGTCACCGAGTGGTCTAGGAGGCACACACAAGAAAACTGACGGACAAATAGGTTCTTCGGCTCAACCTGCCTGAAGTACAACTTTTAATAACAATATGTAAAAACACAACTGAACAACAACTAAACGGAACTGAACGGAACGGAACACGCTCATCAGCTTCCTGTGCGGGCAAGGCGTACGTTGATGACCTCCAGCGCCTTAGTCACGGCCCCCAGCTGCGAATTGTCCGCTACCCCGCACACGGGAAGCGGTGGTGTGTCCTGCTCCTCAGCCTGCTGGATCGAGTGCTGATGCAGGGCCGAGAAGAGGACAGCATCCAACGTATTCGGCGCCAGTTCCCGTACGCGGACCCGGATCGCCCTGGAGTCCAGGCCAGCAAGGAACTGCCTCCTTCGCTAGCACATCTCTATCTGCAGCGGCCATGTTTGGGTAAGATTGGGCGACAGCCGCCCGCACCTTTTCGCAGAATGCGCTGGCGACTGCCCCTTCTGCTGGTGCAAGGCTTTGAACGCAGCCCGGTGTAGTTCGGCGCGCTGGGCCGGAGCAAAGCGGTCCTCAAGTGCTTGAGCCAGGGCAGCGAGCTGGCCTTGACGGGTCGCCAGGGGCAGACAAAGGAAGAATAGTTGGGCGTCGCCCGTGAGGGATAATCCAAGGAACTGGGTTTGTTCCGCAGGGGTCCACTGATTTACCTCAGCTACCTGGGTGAACTGTGCATACCATGCTGCCCAGTTGTCCTCGAGTCGACCGGCGTATTTCGCCGGGGTGGCCCAGTTATGAACATGGCGGGCAGGCGCAGGAACAGCGGCGGCTGGTGCAGCAGCTGCGGGAGCAGCAGTGGCTGTTCCTGCGCAGAACACAAGAACGATACAAAAGCCCTCTCAAAACTGACGAATAAACCTCTCAAGCAACCAGTGAGTGATCGGTTGGTGGCTCCAAGAACTAAAGTCCCGATAGCCAACGAATACCTATTAGGGTGACATACCTTGGTTTCAGGGAATACGGGTCGTGTAGCGCGAGGACGATAGCAACATACCTTGGTTGCAGGGAATACGGGTCGTGTAGCGCGAGGACGATAGCAACATACCTTGGTTGCAGGGAATACGGGTCGTGTAGCGCGAGGACGATAGCAACACACCTTGGTTGCAGGGAATACGGGTCGTGTAGCGCGAGGACGATAGCAACATACCTTGGTTGCAGGGAATACGGGTCGTGTAGCGCGAGGACGATAGCAACATACCTTGGTTGCAGGGAATACGGGTCGTGTAGCGCGAGGACGATAGCAACATACCTTGGTTGCAGGGAATACGGGTCGTGTAGCGCGAGGACGATAGCAACATACCTTGGTTGCAGGGAATACGGGTCGTGTAGCGCGAGGACGATAGCAACATACCTTGGTTGCAGGGAATACGGGTCGTGAATACGGGTCGTGGAGCGCGAGGACGATAGCAACATACCTTGGTTGCAGGGAATACGGGTCGTGTAGCGCGAGGACGATAGCAACATACCTTGGTTGCAGGGAATACGGGTCGTGTAGCGCGAGGACGATAGCAACATACCTTGGTTGCAGGGAATACGGGTCGTGTAGCGCGAGGACGATAGCAATACACTATGTCATGGCCAATCTTCTTGCAGGATCGGCAATAGGGACGGAGACGAAAGGGCCAACGCCGCTTTGGTCGTACATATACCGGTAGTACAGGGACATACCGGAGGGCATGAGAGCTCGCTGGAGAATTATGGTGATCCACTGGACCGGAACGCGTACGCCGCAGCATCGATCTGCTGTGCGGATGGACTGGCGATCCGGGATTCTGCGTCGATCTCAGGTCGTCGTGGGTTCAGAAATGCGGTTGGGACCTATTAACTTTGCTTTCTGCTCATTGGTCGAGGAGAGTAGGAGGATACGCAGAAATTAAGAAATTAAGTGAAAGGCTGCGCTAAAGATGGGGTTCGAATCTGACAAAGTTAACTTTAACCACCGCTGCCACCAATGTAATCAAAATATTAATTAAAACAGAAATGCGCAGCAGCTTTTATAGGCAACAGACCACATACGCTAACGTACGGGGATACGCTACAATCAAGCAAGGCAGGGATACTACACTACCTTTTGCCAAGCCCGTTGGCAGGAAGTGCGAGCTCCCACGTTTCGAGCAACCATTTTCGTTGCCAGTTCAAAATTAATAATAGTGACTGAGATAGTTGCATACGCAGTCATCACTGGTACACACAAACTACCACGGATGCGTTTGGTATACTGTAGCATTTTGTGTGACGTCCTTTAGTTGGATTACATCACCGAAAGGGATCATAACATTATTCAAACTGTTGTCTCATCGTCGACTACTTGCGTAAATCAGTTTCTTTGAATAATTTCACCAACTGACTTTGAGGAAGTTTTACTGACCTGCTATCACATGGAAGACGTGCCGAGCTAAACTAGGACTTGGAATTCAACTCCCCCGATCTTGTGAATATTTTATAAATGGGGCTCCTTCGCGCTGCTAGTTTGTGCGTGGCGTGTGTGGGTTGCGGGGAGAGCTGAGTCCCAGAGCTTAGTGGTAAAGTATCGCTGGGCGAAACGTTCACCGGGCATAACTTTCACCGGGCATAAGCGAGCGGGGGCCCTGGCTGAAGTAGTGTTGGTGGCAGTCAAAATTTCATTAGAACCCTTCCCATTTCAACTACCTCAACCTTACGGATACTGGTAGATATGGATGAACTTTCATTTTCCTTCTTTTACAAAGTGTTCAAGGCGCACATGCCAGTACTCAGTCACTGGGGTTTAAATGTGAGCGGCTTATGACGGTTGCATTCAATTCTCTCGCCATTCCTGACTGCACATGCTACCAGGTGGAAATCAAGAAGGCTAAGCCAAGGAACGAAATGTTCCCAGAGCTCTATGGTGCACCTGCACAGGCCGGTGCGGGTGGCGCCTTAGCAAGACAGAGCGCCGCCCCGAGGAATCTGAGCATTGCCGACGCCAAGCAGAAAACCAGCACGATAAGCAAGACGCTGTCGGAGGCCAGTGATGTCAGCAGAAGCTCTAGCACTTCTACTAATTCATCTTTGCACAGGCCGATCCCAACGTACCCAACACCTGCTGGTAAGATAATTGATTCGTTCATTGGTTCATTGTACCACATGGTGAATGACACACAATATTTAAATTTTATATAATTTATAGCAAATACTGTGAATGAGTTCAGTGTCAAGTACCCTTGACGTAACATACTGATGAGGCGTGAATTCCCCGACATTATGTAATGAGCAGGGAGTAGTGAAGCCATGCTGGTATGCAGAGTAGAGGGTCCGGAGTTCTTCTCGTGCACTCCAGACGGCAGTCACGAGTCAATCAAGTGTCAGTCAGTCGGCAAGAAGCGTGTGCTCCAACGTTTCCAGCAGCAACCTTGGACTTCCGGAATTCCAGAAGTCTCTATGGCCTAGAACATAATTAATTGTGGCTGTTAAAGTGCATGTTCTGATGCTAGAGTCCTGCTCAATAAAATCCAGTTGCGGCACTCAAGTAAGTTTGCGCCTTGCATCATTTCCCAGCCCAGTGTTTTAAGGGCTAGGGCTGAGCAACACCCTGCGTCTACTTGAGTTACGTCACAACTTACGTGAGTGGATTTCATTGAGCAGCACTGTACTAGTATGTGTCCTGCTGCGGCCTTCAATCTACCATGTTGCTATCCCTGTCCCTGACCTGTGCTTCAATCTACCATGTTGCTATCCCTGTCCCTGACCTGTGCTTCAATCTACCATGTTGCTATCCCTGTTCCTGACCTGTGCTTCAATCTACCATGTTGCTATCCCTGTCCCTGACCTGTGCTTCAATCTACCATGTTGCTATCCCTGTCCCTGACCTGTGCTTCAATCTACCATGTTGCTATCCCTGTCCCTGACCTGTGCTTCAATCTACCATGTTGCTATCCCTGTCCCTGACCTGTGCTTCAATCTACCATGTTGCTATCCCTGTCCCTGACCTGTGCTTCAATCTACCATGTTGCTATCCCTGTCCCTGACCTGTGCTTCAATCTACCATGTTGCTATCCCTGTCCCTGCCCTGTACTTCAATCTACCATGTTGCTATCCCTGTCCCTGACCTGTGCTTCAATCTACCATGTTGCTATCCCTGTCCCTGACCTGTGCTTCAATCTACCATGTTGCTATCCCTGTCCCTGACCTGTGCTTCAATCTACCATGTTGCTATCCCTGTCCCTGACCTGTGCTTCAATCTACCATGTTGCTATCCCTGTCCCTGACCTGTGCTTCAATCTACCATGTTGCTATCCCTGTCCCTGACCTGTGCTTCAATCTACCATGTTGCTATCCCTGTCCCTGACCTGTGCTTCAATCTACCATGTTGCTATCCCTGTCCCTGACCTGTGCTTCAATCTACCATGTTGCTATCCCTGTCCCTGACCTGTGCTTCAATCTACCATGTTGCTATCCCTGTCCCTGACCTGTGCTTCAATCTACCATGTTGCTATCCCTGTCCCTGACCTGTGCTTCAATCTACCATGTTGCTATCCCTGTCCCATGACCTGTGCAGGCTCGACGCAAACAAGCCCAATGACTGTCACTAGTGTGCTTATGCCTCCCATGGCTCACGTAGTGCCACCCCCGGCAGGATGGATGCAGTCGGGCATTCCGGTGAGCACCCAGCCGGCTCACAACCTGCAGGCATGCGCAGGTCAGCTACAAGTACCTCTGACTCAATCACACGTTAACACCGCGCAGTTCATGGGCCGAGCGCCTATGCCATGCCCTCCCACCCCCCCTGTGGTCACCTCGCCAAGCAATGGTCATTTCCCCTTGCCGCCGCAGGCTTCCACCAATTGGGGTCATACTGCACCGTTCGCAACATCCGTGGCGCAATCCAGTCTCGGCCTGCAGCTCAATCCGTTCCCCACCGGCATGCCTGGGGCATACTGTAAGTCGGGGGCTTACTCGTTTGTTTTCTGCGTCATTTTATTGTGTGTATGTGTGTGTGTGTTTGTGTGTGTGTGTGTGTTTGTGTGTGTGTGTGTGTGTGTGTGTGTGTGTGTGTGTGTGTATGTGTATGTGTGTGTGTGTGTGTGAGTGTGTGTGTGTGTGTGTGTGTGTGTGTGTGTGTGTGTGTGTGTGTGTGTGTGTGTTGTCTAAAAAACATAGCTGTTCGCTATCATCGCTCCCGCGATGGGCATGTCTGAGGTCTGAGGTGTGTGTGTGTGTGTGTGTGTGTGTGTGTGTGTGTGTGTGTGTGTGTGTGTTGTCTAAAAAACATAGCTGTTCGCTATCATCGCTCCCGCGATGGGCATGTCTGAGGTCTGAGGTGTGTGTGTGTGTGTGTGTGTGTGTGTGTGTGTGTGTGTGTGTACACAGCCAGTGTATGCCGGAGTATGTGGTGTGGTGTGTGTGTAGAAAAAGAAAAAAAAAAAAGAAGAAGAAAAAAAAAATGGAAAAATGAAAAATAGGGATTCACTGGCCAGAAAAAGTCACTTCAAACAGCTGTGTGGTGGATACCAGGCTAAAAATAGTGGCGGTCAATTCATCAGCCTTGCAAGCTGTTGAATGGTGTAATCCCAGCACAAGTTGCTATGTCTAACATAGCTGTTCGCTATCATCGCTCCCGCGATGGGCATGTCTGAGGTCTGAGGTCTGAGGTGTGTGTGTGTGTGTGTGTGTGTGTGTGTGTGTGTGTGTGTGTGTGTGTGTGTGTGTGTGTGTGTGTGTGTGTGTGTGTGTGTGTATCCCATATCATGAGTTGTGCTGTGGTATGTGCAGTCGATTTCCAATCGAAAGGTTTCGCGTTCAATTCCCGACGATTAATGTCGCACACGTCTTTCTTTTCTTTCGCATTCTCCTAGCTCTTCTTTCATTTTCCTGGGTGGCTACCAGCAGCCATTGCATGCCTAAGTATTTGCTGTGCTGTGTGTGTGTTAAATTAAAAAAATGGTAAAAAGTGAAAAATAGGAATTGGTCAGAAAAAGTCACTTCAATCAGCCGTGTGGTGCAGACCAGGCTAAAATTAGTGGCAGTCAATTCACCAGCCTTGCAAGCTGTTGAATGGTGTAATCCCAGCACAAGTTGCTATACTCATTTAACATAGCTTGTTCGCTATCATCGCTTCAGTGATGGGCAGGAGGATGAGTGTGGGTATGGGTGTGGGTGTGTGTGTGTTGGTGTGTGCGTGTGTGGTGTGTACGTGTGTGTGTGTGTGCGAGGGCGCATGCATGCGAGTGTGCATGCATGCGTGAATGTGCTTGCCTGTGTGTATCTTTAAAGGCGAAGTGCACAGCTTGAACCCTAGGAGCTGTGGACTTTAGAAATACCTACATATTGTAAGACTCAGTCCATAGTTGTTAGTAGTAGCAGTGGAAAGATGAAAAAAGCATGTCTGGGATTGCGAACAGCCAACCTGCAGCCGTAAATTGCAAAATAAAAATAGAGCAAGAACCCTCCTGTCCAATTTCTCGTGAAAACCTGACGACAAACAATCGATTAATTGTGTATGGCCCAATGCGATGTAATGTACCATTGGACACGATTTCAGTTGTCTGTGTTCTTCTCTCTGTGTTAGCAATACCGGCTCAGTCTGTCGGCCCACATACTGCTCATCTACCTCCTCAGTGCAGTCCGTTCTCACCGCCCGTATTCTCACACATGGCGAGCAGCGGCACTGCTCTCTCACCGTTCCTCCCCCCAGCGGTCCAAGGAATGCCACAGCTGTCCATGTATCAACCTCTCACTGCTTTTCAGATTCCGCCGGCCGAGGGTAGAAGTTCCGGACCTAAGCTCAGCGTTCCATCGGGTAAGAACACTACAAACAATATGCTGCATCCACTTCCTGCACGGGCACTACACATCAGTAGACACAGTTAGCATTTTACCCTTCACCCTAACTTCGACCGTCGGCCTGTACCGCCTTTTGTCTGTTGTCAAGACCTGGTCAGCATTTCGCTTTCTGACACAACGATCGACTTGTGACGTCACCCTAATCGAAACATTACCGTTTCGTTCTCTCGGTGAACAGAGTTTTCTATCGTCGAAACGATACCGAACCGACGGTATTTTTGGGTGCTGGGTACGAGTACCGTTGGATTTAGTGTGAACGGTAAAATGCTAACCATGTCTGTTATGTCGTGCCAGCAGTTTCCTACAGTACTAAGTACTGTTGGCCACTTTAGTGTAGAAGAAGCAGGCTAGGGATGGAAGGTATACATCTAAGATGACCGTCACCTTTTTGCGGGGCAAGTTACCCCATACTTGGCAGGTACAACCTGTTGTAGGACAGTTGTGAGTATGACCTCACAAAGTTCATGAGCTTTTACGAAGAGTTGGTATCAAGGTGGTGTACGGCTGTAGTGGACGTGCCCCACCAAATCTAATTGCGGGAAATTGATGCATACTAGTATAGTACGTCCCATTCACCAAGCGCAGTACAGGTGGAATCCTGATAATTCGAATATGGCTTAATCCGAACATACCGCTTAATTGAAAATATTTCAGGACCGATTTTTCGGCAATACAATTCCCACATAATTTTTTCTGATAATTTGAACCTGGAACCAGACATGTCCAGTTAATTCGAAGTTCCACGGATTCCACTTTAATACATAGAAAATGTGTGGGATTTGTGCTGGTAATTCGAAGTTAGCAAAGTGTAATTCAAAGTTCACTGTACACTGTACTGGTCAGTTCAGTTTGCATGAGCAGGCTGTGCCAGTCAGTTCAGTATCCGTGAAATCTGTGTCTAAGGTCCATAGCGCAACTCTGCGTGACCATGAGAGCATTTTGATATACATATTGTGTTGTGGGTTCATGTTTGGATAATTAGAATGTCCGGCTAATTAGAAGTTTTTTCCTGGCATTTCGAGGTTCGAATTATCAGGATTCCACCTGTATATTATACCCATATTCAGTAGAACTATGATGATATGTACGCCGTGGGTAGCAAATAGAACGTGCACTCAGTATCCCAAGAACATACTTCAGCTGGGGTCAATGGACCCGTGTGCCGGACAATGTCCGGACTACTGTAAAAGCATTATACATAACGAAGTGCTAAATTCTAACGAGTTAACGAGGAGAAATCTGTCGTGAAAATAGAAAACGTTAGACAGAAATCGATACATACTGTTGCTATTGAGCGTTAAGAAGGAGTGAGAATCCGTTACCTTTGGTACACGTAAACTGGTCAATTTTAGGAAATCGTTATATATGCGCCTCGTTCGAATAATGGCTTTTTACACTAAGCTAGAGCCTGTCTTGTCAGAGTACGCACGAAGTGAGTTCTACTGTGCACTCGGTGGCTCAACTGCGCATCATAGATGAGGCGTAGTACATTAAAACTCTCATAGTACATAAACACCGGCTCTGCTATTAGAGGATGCGTGCATCCCGCTTTGCTTGTGATACCGGATGCCCGCCATACCGTACACGATGTATGGAAGGCTGTGGTATTACATGGCTGAAACCAACCATTACCTTGCCCTGCTGGTCCTGCAATGTCAATACCGCAACTCCCTCACAGAGCTTCATACTCGTACTGCCCTGTAAACATGGTAATGACTGCCTCAAATGCAGTCAGCTGTGTACACGTGCACGTGCCGGTGTGTGGACATGTTGTTTTGCCATCTCTTCTAGTACATGCATCATGGTATACATCTTTCTTCAACCGCTTTCTCACCAATAGCAAAATAATCTCATTCGCTGCTGCAGTTTTGGCTCAAGTTGGTGTGTTTGACCTTCCCGGTCAGTCCCAATGGCGCTGATCTACAGTTGCATTCACACATGCTAACTGGCATGTGCCAGCTAGTAGTATAAGTCCGCTCGGAACAATTGAATAGCCAATGCTGTCTGACGATCACCCAGTGCACGACATCACAGCAAGGCCGTGTACCGTCTTCTCGGAATTATTTGGTGCGGACACGTGAGTCTATGTGGTTACAATTGTTTTTTTGTGTCCTGCAGAGGAATTCCAAGGTCAGCTGACAAAGACAGAGGATGGAATCACATACTTCAACCCTGATATGCAGCAGGTAAAACAACCAGGATGACAAGTGCACATCTGGCTGCGCTGCAGATACTCAGCGCAGTGTTTTCACGGGCACAGCTGCGTCCTGTAAACCGCCCAATATCCGCGTCACTAAATTTTCGCGATTTCTCAGAACCGGCGAGTTAACGATGGCAAACCTTCGCGTAACACTGTGGCCACACACATACACCCGCTGTTGGTGTTTGATTTCTCGGTGGTAAATGTTCGCATCACACTCTCCTCGCAAAATTAGCAAACATTGATACGTCGCAAACATTAGGCAGTTTACAGTACTGTGGCCCGGGTGCTAGCTGCGTGTAAGCCATTGGGGGTACAATGCCACGAGCGGCAGTGTGCTGGGTACTAAAGTGATGATGGTGGTCGTGATGTGCTTACTGCTTAGGTCATGTTGGTAGCGTGTGCGCTTGCAGCATGGCACATTGCGTACAGTAAGATCTGTTTTTCTTGTACCGCACTGTACTGTACTGTAGTCTGAAACGGCAATGTGTTATGTCAAGTCTAATGTCCAAAAAATAGGTAACTGTATTGTGCTGTGTGGGGTATGTTGGAGTCTGCTGTCCACCTCAGTCTCTGTTTTCCGGTTGGGTCTATGGTTGTCTCCTTGTCTGTGTCTGTCCACTTGTACAATGAGCCGATGTACAATGTGCTGGTGTCATCAAGGGAAGTGTTCTTGTGCTGCTGTACTGGTGGTGTTGGCATATGCAAGACGTCAGTGCTTGCTACCCCGTGTAAACCATGTTGTGGCGGTGGCATATCATTATGCAAGATGTGCTAGCTACCCCGAGTGCCGTGACCATGTAATTTGTGCCTAAAGGCTTTGTTGTCAAGTTTGGCCTCCTGGCCGCCTGCTCGTCATTTTCCTGGGAGCATTTTTATGTTGTGCAAAAAAGCTGTGATGTATGCGTGAACCACTGTACATGCAGTGAGCTGCATCGACCCCCACGGCCGACCCAGTACTCACTTTGTGGAGTGAGGGTAACGTGAATGCAGCTACGGGCCCGGGGATTCCCCCCCCCCCCCCCCCTCCTGACAGGGCCCAGTATTGGGTGTGAGACCTAACGTTACCACCTCACTCTCGCCGCTAGGTGATGCGCCTGCCATCTCAGGTATGGTGGTGGCCTGGCACAAGCGGACGGCCTTCCCCGTACTGGTAATGCAGCAAAACCACCTAAGCTGGTGGTTGTGTAGCCGATTGTAACGTGGACGTGAACATTTTTACTTTACTATCACACATGTGCATGCACCCAGGTCAGGCGCAAGGCACCAGAACGAGTACCTTCCAAAACGGCAGTGAGTATAAAGCGTTTTTCTGCGGATGAAAAGGTATGGCCTGCTCTCAGTTGCGTTCCCTGTCTGTCTTGAGCCCCGGCGCCTTATGTCTGATAATATGTTATTGTGACCCTTGACTCGTATTTCAGTACGTAATACTGTGCGTTATGTAGAATGTGCAGTGTATTGTGTGTGTGTGATATATGTAAAGTACATAGGGAATAAATTAGTGCATAGTTTAGTGGATACTGTGATGTTTTAAAGTACGTTGGAGCGGGAAGGTCAGTCTAACTGTTAGCTGACTTGTACATGTCAGCCTGAAGATGTACATGTACAAGCTCTTGGAGCATTTCGAGCACTCTTGGCGAGGTTTGCAGCTCTTTATAAAAATGCTTTGCTTCACGGAAACGTATTTCATTGCGAAGAGCTGCGCTTCGGTCCTCTAAGCTGAGCCGAGGAGCTCTAACAGAGCGAAACAGTTGCTGTCCACAGATTTGAGATGTACATGTACATGTATATGTGCTGGTTTCTACGCGGTATAGGATTAATGGGAGCCTGTGTTTGTTCTCGCGTTATGTGACCGTTACGTTATCCGCTTTGCATGATTGTGTACCGCGTTGGGCCTCGATGGAGCAATGACCGGCGAACTTCATGTACGCACGCGCGCGCGTGTGTGCTTGCCGCTTTGTGTGCGGTAAGTGAAACGCGTTGTGATGCGCAGTGTATGCAGAGTACTCTACCATGTACAGTGTCTGGTGCAAAGCGGTGTTGCGTGCGAGTAGCTCCCGAAATGTGTTCTTAGTGGCATAAGACAGGAAAGCTAGCTACAGTCAACTTCGCTTATAACGACACTCGGCGGGGCATCAAGAAAAGTGTCCTTATTCGCGAAGTGTCGTTATACGCGAAGTGTCGTTATAATGTATTACAGGTTGGATGTGACTTTGCTCTGGGCATGGAAATTCTGTCGTTATTCGCGAATTGTCGTTATATCCGCAGTCGTCATTAGCCAAGTTGCCTGTATTTGTATTTGTGTAGATGCATAGACTCCGCTGTATCCTTGGTATTGTAAACGTACTTCATTATCTTTGCGTGGGCATTCCTAGTCACCATCTTCATTACAATCATACTCTCTATAATGGCAGTATTGCTGCCCACTATCTCCGTCACATCATTTTAATGGTCTCAAGCAGGCTAGCAATTTAAATGAGAAATTGAATTGTATTCTTGATCGACTTTTGTAGCCCTGAGACCATTAAAAGAGCGTGATGGAGATAGTAGGAAAGTATATTGTCCCTAGAGGGGATGTTATTGCGCAACCATGCAGAGTGTTTTTGTATGGATTGGCATCTCCAGCGCCGACTTGCCACTCCAATGCAATGCTACAGTATAACGCATGTAGGATGGTTGTCAGTTGTATCGTAAACCCATGGCACAAACCTGATCCTAGCAGGATGGATGGAGATCACGCTTCGGGAGTGTATATTGTTTGTCGCCGTATTGTCTCTCTCCGTACTGTCTCTCCCCGTACTGTCTCTCCCCGTACTGTCTCTCCCCGTACTGTCTCTCTCATCTGACACTTGACTAGCTTCTGGCTGCTCTAGCTCTGGAGCGTATCGAGAGAAAAACACGGGAAACATTTCTGGAATTTTCTTCCAACATGTTTTCCTGTGCCCGTCATGAATGTGAGAGCATCGTCACAAATAGAAGATGACGAAAACGCAGCCAAGCTGATGTGCTCGCACAGCGCGCAATCAAGGCCAGTCAGGATAGCTCAAAGAGTACTCGATGCACCAGCGTGCATCGCGGTGTGCCTTTAATGCGGGATCCAGGAGGCGCTATTCTGCAGTACTGTCCGATGATCATCCAGTATGGGAAACGTACAGTTACTTCAGCACAGCTTCTTTCATCTCCGATGATGCTCAGGCATAGAGAGTTTTCTAGTCATATTATGACATCATTGAGAAGCAGGAAATCATCCCATTAGTCATACACACATAATAATAATTATTATTATTATGTGTGTATGACTAATGGGATGATTTCCTGCTACTCCATGATGTCATCACCTAGTACCCTGTGTTCTTATTGTTTTATGTGTATTTGCTCTATGTTGCCGGTTGCAGATGCTTAGTCCGGAAGAATGCAGCTATCCTACGAGCGAGGTTAGTACACTGCATCTATACCGGCACGGAGCCACCTACGTGTTGTTCACTTCATTAGCAATCACGGAGTGCTTGACAAAGTTATGAAGCAATCAGCAACTTAGTATCCAGCCCAGAAAGCACACTGCACAATACATTGCATGACCACCACACATGGTAACTACATTGCATGGGTGCAGCAAATGGGGTTTTTCGGTCTTTGACCACTTTGGTGGGTCTGATCTACATTCACCTTCCACCACTATAGGAGCTGCATCTGCACCTTGATCCATAGAGGGTGATAGCATTCCTACGGATGCGGAAAACTCTGCCTCCAGCCGAGTCACAAGTGAACCGTGACATTATTTTGTGCAAGAGGGAATTCCCCCAACCAACCACAGTGAGGTGGAGCCGATGCATAGGAGGGAGAGAGGAAATATTAGTTTCAACTCTGAGGTACACACGCTGGGCGTAATCTGAAGATAGCCCAGAGCATGAAACTTTTGATTTGGAGCAGAATCTGTATACAAAGTAAAACTTTGTAGTAAAGAAAAGGACGAAGGAACTACAAGTTACGCTATTGTGTCCAGTAACAGTTTAGTAGTTCCTTGGTCCCTTTTTTACTATAAATTTATCATTGGCTCTCCATCCGAGTTAAAAACTTTGTAGTTACTGTAAAGCATTATCTTTCCCTTCTTAGTGTGCAGATTAAGCATTACGCTCCTTTGCTTCAGCTTGGTTAGGCACTCGTTCTGGTTAGCGTCAGAGTTGGTTTTCTGCACTCAGCAGTCGTGCAAAGATCGCTGTGTTCACCGCCGTCAGTGCACTCTGAATTTTGATGCTGCTTTTGAGCCAGATTAAAAATGCCGTGTTGTTCAAGTGTCCATTGGACTTCATCGCGTTTGCTTTCACCAGTACTGTGTACAGGGGCATCGGAAGGTATTATAGCGTGCTACGGTTAGCCATCTGAAGTACAATTAACTCCAGGGGGGGGGGGGGGGTGCTAAGCCAAAAATTTTGGAAATTTAGAGCCTGGATCAGTGTGTTTTATTGATTCACGGGGTACCTGGCCGGGGCAAAAAGTGGTCCGGTCAATACCGTAGTGACCGTACCGTGTCCGATGCCCCTGGTACAAGTAAACAATTTCGTTTGGACTTAACTTTCGCTATATTCGTTAGGGGGCACGAAATAACTAAAGTTTGTACCAAAACTAACGTTTTTTCTCTGAACGTTCGGGGTGACAGACCTCGACCAAAAACGAAATTTAGTGCGTAACAAGCCTGCTGGTGGAGTGATCTAGCGAAAGATTTCGTGAACGAAAATTTGTACTTATACAGTAGCTCTGAGCTCCACTGACGAGACTTAGGGGTCGTCGCAAAAGTTTTTTTGTCGTCCCTGAAACGAACATGATTCATTTGGGGGGGGGGGGGGGAGGGGGTGCGAGCCAAAATCGCAAGTCGACCGACACTGTACACATGACATGTACATGCATGCGATTTTTGTCGTCCAGCATAGCAAGCTGTGTTCGTTTCAGAGGGAGGGGAGGGGGTCCAAGTACGAAATGAACGATGTTCGTTTCAGGGATGACAGAAAACTTTTGCGACGACCCCTTAGGACAGTCGAAATAGCTAGCTGTCCAGAGTTTGAACGGTATACATAGTATTGTGCCACATTTTTTAATTTGAAGTTTGTTCTTAATCTGTTCATTTTGCCTTTCTATTGTGGTTTGCTTCGCCCTGGCTAGGATTCGGGAGAAGAAGTGAGCGCTGAACATGCTCACCATGCCAACGCCACTGCAGTAACTGCTGCCTGTTGAGAAGGAATGGCGAGCGACGTGTCCGGGTCAACCATGTGAGCTGTGTATGAGCTACATTGTAACCATCCAGGTGCACAGAACACCTGCATCTGCACCTGCGAATTGATCCTCGACGGCAGTGGCGTTTCTACAGACGCGGAAAACTCGGCGTCACGGGAATCGTGAATATTTTTGTACAGTTTCTACCAACATCTGGCCGTTATTCGCTTCTACTCTTCTATGACTGTATGAGCACAAGTTGCCTGGGTGGCATGTGAGCAGACTGCCTGTGTGGCATGTCAGCAGATTGCCTGGGTGGCATGTGAGCAAACTGCCTGGGTGGCATGTCAGCGGATTGCCTGGGTGGCACGTGAGCAGACTGTGCGTGGAATTTAACCACAGCCTGTGTGGCTTGTGAGCGAAAATCGGCGGCACGCTGAAAAAAAATCAAGAACCAGCGGCTGGACGCTTGCTGCAGTTTCGTGCTCAATGCCAATGGCATGGACGGTGGCACAACCCTAGTCTCAAGTCACATGGCACTTCTAGCTGCACCCACTCAACATTCCTGTGCTCGAAAATCATCGTAATCTGCTAGAATTATTGTGCACGCTTCAACCAAAATCATAATCAAAAATATCTGCATACATGAATATCTGAAGCCGATTTCCCCCCTCATAACGAATGCAATGTACAGTTGCACTGCTGTAACTCAGTACTTTACAGCATACCTCGTAATGTGTGTGACAATTCAGAAACGCCATGCAACAAAAAAAAGGGTGGCATGTCAGCGGATTGCCTGGGTGGCACGTGAGCAGACTGTGCGTGGAATTTAACCACAGCCTGTGTGGCTTGTGAGCGAAAATCGGCGGCACGCTGAAAAAAAAATCAAGAACCAGCGGCTGGACGCTTGCTGCAGTTTCGTGCTCAATGCCAATGGCATGGACGGTGGCACAACCCTAGTCTCAAGTCACATGGCACTTCTAGCTGCACCCACTCAACATTCCTGTGCTCGAAAATCATTGTAATCTGCTAGAATTATTGTGCACGCTTCAACCAAAATCATAATCAAAAATATCTGCATACATGAATATCTGAAGCCGATTTCCCCCCTCATAACGAATGCAATGTACAGTTGCACTGCTGTAACTCAGTACTTTACAGCATACCTCGTAATGTGTGTGACAATTCAGAAACGCCATGCAACAAAAAAAAAATATTCGAGGCTCAGCTGCCGCTTACCCTCGTATTCTCCAGACAGTCTAATTCTCAGAAGCTCAATATTTTATCCGATTGATGTGCCAGTGCAATGGTAAATCAGATCTGCTACTACAGCACTGAAATAGAATGAGTGTCGTTGTGATAACATCATTATTTTACGAGTGTCGTTGTGATAACATCATTATTTTACGAGTGTCGTTGTGATAACATCATTATTTTACGAGTGTCGTTGTGATAACATCATTATTTTACGAGTGTCGTTGTGATAACATCATTTTACGAGTGCGTTGTTACGATACAGTGTTTGTTGTGTGTTGTGCGTGTTTGTCGGATAATAATATCAATAACAATACGCCGATATAATTAGTTGCATAGATAGTACTTACGTTGTTGCTTGCATTCTCGCTCTCCACAGCAACTCCATTGCGTGCTGCGTTCTATGTATTCCTATTCTGTACACTGACTCTCTCTCTGATAGGGTTTGCTGTCACCCTGTCGCTGGGCGCAAGCACCCTCTGACAGACCAAACCGATTCGCTTCATCTTTGCAATACAGTCGTCCCTCTCTAATCCGGCACCTTTTGCTACGGCATTTTCTGCTGGATTAACGAGGGTGCTGGATTAAGAAATCCTGCCCTCTGACCCGGTGTACTATAGTAGAATGACCCCCCAGCAGATGGACCCCCCCCCCGGGCATTGTACTATATAGTAGAGTGACCCCGGGGTCACTCTACTATTATAGTACAATGCCCCGGGGGTCGTTCTACTATAGTAGATTGCCCCCTGTCATTCTACTACAGAGTCCACCAGACTTGTCGTTTCGCACGTGCAGGTAGAAAGGGATGGAGTTTACACCACAGATTCCAAGTGGACATTATGGATTGTGGCAAGAGTCCGGGGTTATGTACTCTTGATTGTGGGAATATGTGGTGAAAAGTCCACAACATTTGTACATAGGTCGCGCACTTTTCCTCTTTAGGAGACATGAACATCCCACCTTGTGTTGGATTGTTTTTGTTTTGGAGTTGGAAGAAAGTTTGCAAGTTCAGTGTTCCTTTGCGTTTTCTGTGTGCTCCTTGCTCCTTTTGGATTATTGTGTGTGTGATAGGTGCATTGATATTAAAACAGAGAGGTTCCAGGCTGTCCAAGAGAGTGTTCAATACCGAGTGGTAGAGCAACAAAAGCAAAAGGTGCAACCTGTGCCTGGCAGAGAAATTGGCAATCGCGCAAGCACTCAAGCACCTCTCTCTCAACAAAAGGAGTGAGCTTGTGTCGAAGTGTCGCCATGAGAATAGGTACTACCTTCGAACTTTACTATGACCTCGGGTTCAATCTACACGTGTATACGTATACGGTGTAGTACTAGCAAGAGTTCAGGAGTTCACGGACCTCTACTAAAATAGCGGCCGAGGGGGGTCGTTGTACTATTATAGTAGAGTGACCCCGGGGGCAATCTACTATATAGTACAATGACCGGGGGGGGGCTTCCACTACGGGGGTCATTCTACTATATGACACCGGCCCTACCCAATTGCATGCATGTATCATAATGTATGTCAAAACGCAGGGTTTTTCCGTGTCGACCCAAGTATTTGGTGCACGGCTTTATATTCTCAATTGTTCTCCGGGAATATTATTATTATTATTATACGCATTCCCGCGGCAGCGTCAACCAAGCAGTTATGCTTGATCCACACGTTCGCTTATGCTGGACATTGAAACAAAGCAGATGTAGACAGCTCCTAGAGAATGGGGCTCTACAAAACCAATGATCGAAGTTAGTCCTTCAGTAACATGGAGCATCAAAAAATTGGTCTCATTGGAAAAATGTCATCACTATTGTCTCCTCATGTAGCATCATGGTCAATGGGTGGCCAGATAATTATACGTATGAGGTTGAGTTGCCAGATAATTATTAAAAGATTCAAATAGTAATATTATTATAGAATGGTTGTTATGAGTTTATAAGGGTGCCATGGCTGTTTCTACTCGTGACGAGGGTGTGCACAAACACTCTTCACCAGCGCGTTCCATGCTGGACGGTCCACAGCAATCCGCTCCAGACGGCGCAAGTCCTCAACACTCCCGCAGGTGCCCATTGTTCGACTGGGACAGATCGGTGTGGAGCTTTATTGGTAGTGTCACCCTCGGCCTCCCACGGTACCTCCCCTCGGGTGCCTGAAAGTATTGCTCCATGCTCAATCGTGCTGGCGTGTCCTTACCCAGGCGAAGCACATGCCCGAATAGACTCCAGCGTGAATTTCGGATCAAGTCCGACACCGGCTCCACTCCACATCGGGCATACAACGCCAAATTACTAATCTTCTGTGGCCATGTGATGCCGAGAAGTGACCCGAGTTGCCTTCTATGGAAAGCGTCCAGGGAGCGTTCGCTAGCAACCGTCAGGCCCCAGGTGCCTGAATTATAGAGAAGTATCGGCATGATAAAGGCGCAGTACAACCTCATACGCAGAGGCTCTCGAATCAGTCCTCGGCGCTTCCAAAGAGACCACATGGATTGGAAGGCAGCCTCGGCCAATTGCCTGCGACGTGTCACATCCTCAATGTCGCCCAGGAGTGAGCCCAGCTTTCGGGATGTCCTCCAGCGCTCGTCAATTCTGTCTACAGATCGACCCAGCCCTGTCCACTCAGTTTTGGTGTTGTTGACTCTCAAGGCCTACTGCCCGAGAGTGTGGTCTATTACCGGTTCGAGCTCTGTGAGCCATTGACGACTAAGGCTTATGAAATCGGTGTCATCTGCGTAGACAAGCTCAAATGGAATGTTGATGCTTTGATCCATTGGCGGTCTGTTTCGTGCCACCTGGGTGCTCCTCAGATCTCTCAGTGCTGCCTCTAAGTATATAACAAACAACACCGGGGAGAGAGAATCACCCTGGGGGTGCCAATTGTAGTTTCAAGGGACTCTGATACTGCCCTGCCGATGCGTACCTGCAGAGTTGTGTTGGTCAACAGCACTCTAACCAGCCGAACATCATCCTCCGTTAGGAAAGACTCGAGAACTGTCAACAGTTTGTCACGACGTATACAGTCGAATGCTTTGGACATGTCGATTCCAAGAATGGTCATTTCCTGCCGATAATGCTGACATGTTGCTGCAAACCATCTGTGGCTCCAAACAAGGTCCGCTGTAGATCGGCCTGCTCTGAAACCACTCTGCGTCGGAGACAAGTACTCACCGACTTTCGACGATATTCTTTGCAATGTAATAATGGAGAGCGTTTTGCGTAATGATGTAAGGAGGACAATAGGGCGCAGATTTCCAGGTGGTCCAACCGTCTTTCCTGGTTTCTGCAACGGTACCAGTGTGCCACATCCCAGGTCAAGGTGCTGGTGAGTTGTAAACATGCTGTTGAACAGACAGGCAATGTGAGGCGCTAGGTTTTCTCTTCCATATTTCAAGAGTTCGCCTGGGACTCCATCTGGGCCAGGGGACCTTCCATTATTCAGTTTTTTCAGCGCATTGGAGACCTCAGCAGATGAGATTTGTCTTTGGAGGCTTCTTGGGCGACCGGTGAATGGCTCGACGCCTGCATCCACATTCCCACGAAACTGGTCATGGAAGTGGCTCCGGACAGTAGATGCCGCCTCCTGGTCGTCGGCTATGAAGTGACCGTTCTGGTCATGTACAATGGGCTTTCGGCTTGGCTTTCTGGTCATCAGCTGGACTGCTTTGAACATCCGTGCTCCATTCTTCAACCTCTCGACTTCCGCTGCTCTCTCTTGCATAATTTTCTCTGCATTGTCTCGGCATTTTGTTCTTATAGCGTGAAGGATTCTGTTTCGTTTCGTCTTGAGAGATGCTTTGGTGTCAGGGTTGTTAGTGCTACCAATGCTGATCCGCAGTGATCTCTGTTCCAGGGACAGCAGCTCAATTTCATGATCTGGTGCTTTGCGACGAGTTTTCTGCTGGACTGTGCCAAGGACATCACCTGCTGCACTCCTGACCACTTCCATAAGCCTCCGGGATCTTTCCTGCAGGCCGGTATTGCCTTGGACCTGATCGGCAGCTAGCAGCTCACTGGCCAACTTCTCAGCATATTCCTCTTGGACTTGTCCTTCGACTAGTTTGAATGTGTTGAACTTAGGCGCCTGCAGATCATCTTTCTTCCTCTGTCCAAATATTCCATATAGCCTCTGGAGGTCCAACCGCGCAACAACGAGCCTGTGGTCAGACCAGAGGGTGCATCCACCATAGCTACGACTGTCAAGGAGAAGCCGCCTCTGGGTAGATTTACACAGCACGTAATCTATTTGGTTATACACAGGAACAGTCGCTCCACTGGCTCCATCCCTGCGATGTCCTGTACAAGTAGTCACATGCGGTGCATTATGCTGAAAGGCAGTGTTACTTACAGATGAACAAGTCACTAGCATGGCAAAAGTCTATCAGGCTTTGGCCACTCAGGTTCCTCTTCCCTCTACCATGACTCCCACAACATGTTTCTCTTGCATCCGACTTTTTCCCAACCTTAGCATTGAAGTCTCCAGCGAAGAGGACGATAGCTGACGATTTTATTTGATTATATGCACTATTCAAGTCGGAATAGAATTTGTCCAATTCATCAGCGTCGCGGGCAACTAACGAAGACGTTGGTGCGTACACATTGATAATGGCGAGAGTGGATGCCTTGGTGCCTCCGTTGCCCGCCCGTGAAGGCAGGTTGATAGTCAGCACAGCCACTCGGTCCGACAAGCTCCAATATTTCTGAATTTGCGACGATAACGAAGACGACACAACAAATGCAAGCCCATAGTGGCGACATTGAGGTGCCAGGGCGATAAGTCGATAGCCGTCCTTCTCAGTGTCAAGGCTGCCAGTCAGCTTTGTTTCCTGAAGACAACACAAGTCGACACGATAGCTTTTAGGTCGCGTCGCAAGGCGTCCTGACGGAAATTTGAGTTCAGCCCGCGGACGTTGAAGCTGCCTACTATAAACGGCCTGCGCTTCGGCTTTCTTCCGCCCATTCCCAGTATCCTAGCCAGTCGTCATGTCCAATAAATACAGAACTCTCCCGCTCCAAAGTAGAGGAGCAGGAGAGAGAGAGAACGCAACTTCCCTCAACCAAGCTGCCGGGAATCCGGGAATATACACAGTGATAAAGTAAAACAGAGAACATGTTCACATGTACTCTTACACACACACGCACACACACACACACACACCTGAAAATTGGCAGGACACTACTCCTCGCTAAATAGAAATAAGAAAGTATGGTCTCCTGGACAAGCCTAGCCTGGCCTGGCAAGGAGTGCACCTTTACCATTGTGTACGGT